TGATGTTGATAAGAAAATCACCACCATTCTGGCTGTGAAGAATAGAAGCCAGTGGTAAGCATGAGTTGTCAATATCTGAGAACATCAACTTGCTTTTGTTTTTCTTGGCATTAATGATGGCGAGAAGCAGTTCGGGGGAAGCAACTTTCAGCTCAATTGACACGCGTACGCGAGGAATACTGCTCGGTTGTTGAGGGGCAGCGCTGGTAATGGCAGCAGATTCAGGATGGCCTTGAGATTTCCTCATAAACCGAGTGTTGGAAACATCGAAGGAGTCAAGATCACATTTCAGCACTCGTAAAACTGCTAAAGCCAACGGCTGGGGCTCAGAGAGACCATCACTTTCAGGAAATCCTGAGATGATGAGCTCAGTGGAAGTCTGCTGATGTCCGGCAATCCGGAGGAGGATGTTGGAGGCTGATAGAGCTCGAGTTGACAGCAGCAACAACACGTTGCAGCGTAGCAGAATCCGTTGAAGACAAAGATGGTGGGGCCGCAGCAGGCGAAGCATTAAGCTGAGCGGTGAGATCAGCAACAGACTGATGGAGTCCACGAATCTCATCACGTTGTATAGCCACAATCGCCTCGACGTCATCCATGCGTTTGAACAGAGCAGGCAGTTGGTCGAGAGCTGATACTTTGACTTTGACAGTAGCCAGTTCAGACCGGACAGAGTCAAGCTTGGTGGAGAGGGCATCCAGGTTCTCCGTGCATTTGCTGATAATCCCTAGGGTCTCAAGAATGCAAACATTGGTTGAGCCTAACAACGCAGTCTCTCCTCCAGAAGGTGGAGCAGGAAATGTCGGGGGACGGACAATGACGCTAGGACTCCCACCACCACCAGAGCGAGATGTATTAGATCCATTGGAGCTAGCAGAAGTCAGGCGAGTGCGCATAGCTGGTAGAGGAGAGGATACCCCCTTTGCAGAATAGCAGGGCTGACACAACCTGATTTTAGCCCCATTTTCGTTCGGGACATTCTGAGTTTTCATGCATACCGGGTGAAAATGCATATCACAGACTCGACAATGCACCATTTTCCCACTAGCAGCACGTTCACACTTCCCACAGTGAATCTTCTCCCCCCCGTCAGCCATTTTGTCGGCGGTAGAAATGGCGTATGGGGATTAGGATCGAAGGCCAGATGCTCCGTGAGTAAGAGAGCTAACAGCGATGGTGTAGCTTCAGTCGATATCATATCCACAGCCGATAAGGTAGAGTGAACAAGCTGCAGGTAGGATATCAATCTGCCACTCCCAAGCCGGTTAGAGCAAAGTCTACTCACTAGGGGCCACTCAACGATGCACAGAGCCAGCAAAAATGACAGGTGAAGCGAGAGAGACAACAACAGGGTGAGAGCGAGACGGGTAGAGCAGGAGAAGAGGTTATGTCAGTAGTGGCACACTCCAAGTCCAGATAAAATGCAGAAAAGCAACCAACCAAGAGACAAGGATATTTCTCACTCGCTGGTTGTAACAAGGCGCATGCAACAGATCTGCAAGAAAGACCGCCCGGGGGCGAAAACTGCAGAAAGCAAGTATTTTGAGGAGAGCGTGCAAACAGCGTGCGTTATACTTAGAGCGCTACCGGAATGCCAGTACGTCGACTTGAAAATTTAAATACCTTATTATTGTAGCCGAACACCGCTGCCACCAAATATTGTACCCAGCGTGGGGGGTACTTATAATTATAGTAGGTTCTAAGCTTAAAGGGATAAATCCCACCAATGGTTTATCGGCATTTAAATACGAGAATTTATTACATCATTATAATTACTGTGTCATCTGACTGATTACAAAGAGTTTACGACTTTTGTAGGTGTCGGAGTCCAATTCCGGTCTGTTCTGTGCAGATCCAACCATCTCTTAAATAATGCATTGATTGTTTACATTTCATCACTTGGTCAGCACAACGTCTCTCTCTCACTGTGAATACACTATAAGCACGTTTAATTTGTTCCCTGCTAGAACGTTTCTGCTGCTCATCGCTGTCCCCGGGCATTTTCTGTTGCGGGTTCGTTGCATGCATTATCCCGCAACCAACATTTGGAGATATTAATCTTTCCTGTTGGTTGTTTTTCTGCTTCTTAAACTGCTTTTAAAAATCCTTGTCATCGCTTGGCTGTCTCTCTCTTCCTGCTTTTGCTGTCAGCTCTAGTGAGTGGATATTATACTAAGTGGTCAGTGCAGAGGGCTCTTCGTTACCACCCGCTGTCTGCGATATCTGCGTTGCCGACAGTCGTCCGTTTACCAGCACCAGTCTCTGCTTCTCCCACTTACTTCCATTCGCCATCTTTATGGCCAACAAAATGGTGGATGCAGACAAGGTGCCTTGTGGCAAGTGTGAGCGCGTTGGAGGTGGGAGGATGGCACACTGTCGAGTTTGTGACTGTCCCGATCATCTTTTATGTATGAAAACCCAGCTTCTTTCCAATGAAAATGGGTCTAAAATTCGGATGTCAGCCATTCTACTCTGCAAGGGGCATCTCTTCGGCAGTTCCAGGAGTGAGGACTCGCAACAACTCCTCTAGCTCCAATGGCTCCAACTCCTCAAGATCTGGGGTGATCAGCCCCCTCGTAGTGAGTACCTCACCTATGCCACCACTACCTACTCTTGCTTCATTGCCTCCACCTACAATTTCCGCCCAAGGGGGCTCAAGTCTGGCGACTCATTCAAACGTTGCTTTCATCCTTGAATCCTTTGGGGTGATTACTAAGCGCACTGAAAATCTCGACAGTCTCTGTTGCAAGCTCGACACAGTCCAATCAGAACTCTCTGACGTGAAGACTAAACTATCAGCCCTAGACCAATTGGCTGCTTCGTTCTAGCGTGTGGATGATGTTGAGGCTGTAGTAGCTGAACAACGCGAGGAGATTCAAGGCTTGACGCAATCTAAGTTGAGTACATCTCCCGCCTCAGCAGCTTTGCTCTCGTCATCTGATGCTACCACACTTCAGCGTGTCGTTGCTGCTGTGAACTGCAGCTCGGTCGGACTTCAACGTATTGCGGGAAAGCGTCCAGCGAGCTCATTATTTCTGGATTTTCTGAAAGCGATGGTCTCACCGACCCTCTCCCGTTAGCCCTAGCTGTTTTACATTCTCTCAAGACTGACATTGAGCCTTCATCCATCTCCAATGTCCGATTCCTGAAGAAATCGGTGAGCCACTCTGCTCCTGATGTTTCAGCCACTACCTCTAGTGCCACCTCTCCATCGCCTCACGAATCTCGACGCTCTCGTGTGTCAATTAGTCTCAACTCTCAAGCTTGCCTCCCCTGAGCAAGTCCACTCCATTCTTGACGCCAAAAAGGCGAAAGGCAAGCTGATGTTCTCCACTATTGACTGCTCATCTCTATCATCTTCATCCTCAGCAGTGAGGCAGAATGGTGGTGATTTTCAAGTCAATATTAACGACCTCATCTCCACGAAAACCTATAAGCTCTTGGGCAAGGCAAGATTCACTCTGAAACAGTCTGGTTTTCGATTTGTCTGGGCCAAAAATGAGGTTGTTTTTGCCAAATTCAAGGAGGGCGACTTGATTTACACTATCAACTCGTATGCTGATATTGACAGAATTGCCAGTCTCCACCGAGATCAATCGTCCTGATCATTAGCTGCTGCTGCTGCCTGCTCCACCTTTCGACCACAGCAAACTCAACTTGATTCGTCATCCTCACTGTCTCTACTCACACCAGCGTCATTCTCTCAGTCATCTTCTCCAGCCACTGTTGATACAAACCAATTTAATGTCTGTTGCCTCAATGTAAACTGTCTTCGCTGTCGACTCGATACCATTGAAAGTTTCCTTACTACTCAGCCCTTGGTCTACCATGCCATTGTAGTCACTGAAACATGGCTGTCAGCAGCCTAACTAACAGCAGTCTAACTACAATCTGCTAAGATGCGATCGCAATGTGCATGGTGGCGGTGTTGCTATCTACTATCATGACTTTGTGTCAGCAACTGTCATATCGGCATCAACTACTGTCTAGACTGGGAAGCCAGGGCATTTAGAGTACCTTTTTTGTGATATTAAACCAGCTGACTCATCATCTATCTTTGTTGGTGCTATCTATCGCCCACCGCATGATTCTTTTCATGTTCCCGTCAACTTTACTGATCTCCTGGCGGCTGCAGTAGATGGCTACAGTCACAAAATAATTATGGGTGATTTCAATGTCGATCAATTGTCTTCAAACTCTGATGCGACGCTAATACGGTCAATGATGAATGATGTCTCCCTGTAGTTGGTGAATCATGGAGTTACCCACTCCACTCTCTCATCTTCCACGTGACTTGATCTTTGCCTTGTTGATGTCTGTGATTCCACCAGTGGCTACTTTACCTCTGATTGTCCATTGGCTGCTGGGCATCATCTCATTTCTGTCTCGTTAGCTGTTGGTGGTTGCAAACCTAGGGCAAAGTTCACCTCGTCTCGCCAATTATCACGCCTTCAGAGTCTTGATGTCATCAAGATCTTCCAAAGGGCCCTACAGAGTGAACTGGATCCAGTACTGCATGATGCTGATAGTTTTGCGCAGGCTGTCACTAACATGTTCATAGAGTTGGTTGATACTCACACCTCCCTTCGTCAGGTGTTGGTGAACTCGGCTGAAATTGTGCCCTGGCTCAATGATGATCTGCGATCATCTTATCGGCAGGTGCAGCATCTCTATCGATAATTCAAACTCATTAGACTTCCTTCGCGGCTGCTTGAATTCCGCCAAGCCAGAAGTCTCCACCAGTCTCTGGACTATCAGGTGCTGCTCTCTGGAAAGAGCTTCGTAATCTGGCACTGATTCTTGGCTCGGGCGTTAGCCCTGCTATCTCTGCTGACACTCTGAACTCTCACTTTGCTGCTGTCTCCACGGTACGGCTAAATGATCAATTGCCTCACTGCACGTTGCCGCTGCCGCCTACTTGGGTGGCTGTCAACACTTCCACCTCAACGTTCTCCTTCAACCATGTAAGCTGGTTAAATATTCATGCAGCTATCTCCACCATGCAATCCAATGCAGTTGGTGCTGACGGTATATCGAGAAAGATAATGATGAACACTCTGCCAGCCCTGTCTGACTGTCTCCTGACCATGATGAACAAATCATTTGATGACTGCATTTTTCCCATGAACTGGAAGCGGGCTGTCATAGCCCCAGTAGCCAAGGTCAGCTCCCCGAAGTCACCTACTGACTATCGACCCATTGCTCTCTTACCGTTTCTAGCGAAAGTCCTGGAGAGACTGGAGTTTAATCAGCTATCATCGTATCTACATGAAGACAGTCAACTTGACCCTCGTCAATGTGGATTCAGATCCGATCATAGCACTCAGACCGCGCTGCTCAGACTCATCAATGATGTCAGGAGAAATGTTGATAACCACAAGATTACTGTCTTGGTACTGTTCAATTTCTCCCAAGCCTTCGACACAGTCCCTCACTCCTTGCTGCTGAACAAGTTAGCCAGCCTTGGCCTTTCGACTGGCGCCATCGCATGGTTTCGTTCTTACCTCACTGGTCGTTCGCAAAGGTAAGAGTGGGCTGTCCTCTTTTATAGAGACCAATGCTGGTGTGCCTCAGGGGTCTATTCTTGGTCCTCTTCTGTTCTCCCTGTTCGTCAATGAAATTGGGAGAAAGATTGTTAACTCACGCTACCTCTTCTATGCGGATGACCTCCAGATTTACTGCGGATGTGATCCCACTGAGCTTCATCACTGCTTCGAACAACTCAATGCTGACATCTCTCGGATCCATGATTGGGCTTTGGCTAATGGCCTACAACTTAATGTCAGTAAGACTACGGCCATTGTTTTTGGAGCTAGACGCTATATCAACGCCGTTGATATGACCTCCTTGCGTCATCTTGGCTGTGTTGGTACTGCTATTGAATTCGTTAGCAGTGTGAGGAACCTTGGGGTCATCTTCGACAGCAAATTAACTTTTGGTAACCACGTCCAGCTGGTGACTTCCAAGATCAACTCAGCGTTCTATCAATTGTACAACTTATGTCGCTACATGGATGAGCCTCTGCGTAAGCTGCTGGTCAATGCCCTCATTTTTCCTCACATTTTCTACTGCCAGGCTGTCCTCCAAGGTGTGGGTGTTGTCCTTGACATGCAGCTCCAACGATTGATCAACAGGGCTGTTCGGTTTGTGAGTGGGCTACCTCGTGATGCGCCTATTTCAGCAGCTAGGCGTTCCCTTCGATGGCTAACTATATCTAGGTACAGGGACTCTGCTATTGCCTCCATCAGGTACCAAGTGCAACTTACTGGCAACCCTGCATACCTCGCTGAACTGTTTGCTGTGTACATCTCCACTAGACCTCTCCGCCAAGCCCTTGCGCAACAGCCTCTGGTTGTCACAAATAACCGGGCGGACGGTAAGTTTAAAGTTTAAGGACGGACGGTAAGTTTAAGGCCGCTTTGGCTGTTGCTGGTCCGATGATTTGGAATAATATCCCTTCCCACATCAGGAAACTACCTACTCTTGCCTCGTTCAAGCGCCAGCTGAAATGCTGATTACGGGAATATGAAGCTCAACGTTGATAATTGTCTATTGCCTCTGTTGTTCTTGTACTCACTTCTGTGATGTTTCTCAACTTTTGCTTATCTTCAGATATTATTTTCCACGGCTCCTGCTTAAACTCATTTTTTTAATAATCTCTATTGTACTTTGTTTAACTTTCTAAACAATAAACTCCATATCTTATCTTATCTTATCTTATCATAATCCACTTACGCTGGCAAGTGTCACGCTGACAATGCTGTATGTCTACATATTAAACAATAACGCAACTGACCAAATTTGGGGCATAACAAAATCAAAGCAACGCTAATCCAATTATCATTGAGATATCAGTGACTGCTTCACATGAAAGACTCAATTTTGTTAGATTTTTCCGATGAATGGGGGATCCAATGAACGATTTGATCTTAGATTGATTTCAAATTCACTACATTGGGAATGCAGATGCGGCTGTTAATGAAATTTCAAAAAATTGTTAATAGTAGTGTACGTCAAAAATTCGACAAATGACACGGATACACTAATTTTCAGTTATAATACCCCGAGATATTCAAAATTATCGGAATATTTCCGATAGCTTCGTTGCAAATAAACGAAAGTGTCAAGTCTTGCCGGCTAAAAATCCTGAGTGCGCAGCACAAGGGATTTTTCTGCAAAACTTGACACTTTTGTTTGTTTGCAGGGAAGCTTGAGGGAAATATTGCGATTAATTTTGAAGGTGGAGGGTTATTCGGCGGAGAATTTTTCGGAACTGGATTTTGGCCAAGCGGAGGGCAGTATTCGAGGGCTTCTTCTAGCAAAACATCCAATTGGTTAAAAATAAATGAATAGCTACTATGCAATTATCAGATGCAATTTCCAGAAGCTAGTGTGCAATTTGCAAAAAAAAATTGATAACAAAAGAGCATCGTGACCTCGAATAATGCACTGTGATTGGCTAAAATCCAGTCCCGGAAAATTCTCACGCTTATGTAATCTGAAATTTGAAAATTTTCAATAACTGCTGGTCCATATACGAATGCTTACAGATAAATTGGCAAGATAATTTGGCTTCGCTCAGATAATTAGCAGCAGTGATTTATCCTGCACAAGATATTTTTATCCCGTAGTTTAGGCTGAACTGACGGGTCACCATTACATTACCCGTACATCACCCGTATTTAATGCGAAAAGTCATACCATTTTTTTTAACGATGTATATATATATATATATATATATATATGTATATATATTAGATTGTTTCTTATTTATTTTTGAGAATAAAATTTTAACTTCAAGTTAAAATTATGAAGAATGATTGGAATTACCAATTTTCCAAAATAATTTCATGAAAGTCATATTTGAAATCAAGAACAGAATGCAGAAAAATTTAAGGCTGTGTCTGTGGCAATGAACATCTTTTTAAAATTCATTGTTTTTTTTCTATCGATATAAAGTTTCAAGTTTATATCTATCGATGCGGTTGAAAGTTTGAGGGTAAACTTGTTATAATTTTCCGCTGATTTCCCTTGGATATCCTACCAACAGGTTATCATGACATCAATTTATAATTCGTGCAAAATTTTTTGGGGTAAAGGTACAAAGCCACTAAGCGCATCAATACAAGTTTCTGCTGATTGTTATCACTGGAATCTGGAAATGCGGGAGTGCGTATTGTTTTGTGACCACTGAGGTCGTCAACCCAAAATATATTTTTTTTTGTATGTAAAAAATATCAAGTCCTTCTTCAAAGGCACTATTTTGAGTATAAATTAACTCTAGGAGGCTTCTCTTACCCATGAGAATCGGGGAAAGTAAATCCTCCATTCTTATGAAAGTTTAACATATGTCGTCTTCTCCAACGGTCGTATTTCCGAGTCAACGGGATGGGTCGAGAAGAGGAGGTCCTGAGAAATATCTCTTGGGACCAGACAACATGCGGACCATCCCCTCTAGGACAATCAGAATGAGGATCGGCGTCCCTCTACGAGGCACATGCATTTTAAATGAGAGCAGAAAGTGTCCTCTGGGCAGGGATCCAACATCTCGCTAGTAGTCAGTAGTCCAGGGTACCCTGATGCGAGGAATGACCGGGAGAGAAATTCCCCCCTATCCGATGATCAGAACTAGCTGGAAGTCAACGAGGGATGCTCGAGTGACAACGACGTGACACCGGAGCGATAAAAACAACAAAAATAATTTTGAGAATTTCAAGAGAAATAATTTAGAATAGTGAAAATAATTATTTAGAATTTGGTGACGAGTAGTATCTGTGAAATTTTATTATTTAGAATATTTTGGAATTGTAAAGTTTCAGATTGAGTTTAAGAAAATTTCGATATCCTATCAAATTATTTGATTCGAATAGTTAGAGGGGGGAACCCTCCCCAAAAATCTGAAAAAAACAAGCATCTCAAGCAAGTCAATGCACGCTTGAAGAGAGTCGTCTCCTAGCTAGAGCGAGATGTAGTCACCAAAGTAATACGGTCTGCCAGATTGGCATTTATTTTGTTTGTTTGGAGTTGAATTATTATTTTTTGTCATTTAGGCTGCAGTCCATCCTGGGAGGAAATAGTTCTCCGTACGTAGGTAGGTGGGCAAAGCCAAATTTTCTTTAAATTTGATTAAAATCCGAGAATCATAGCCCCTTGTTTCGGCTTCTCGTGTGGCGTCTCCATCCAACCTTTGTTTGCATTTTCTTGAGTCATGGAAGTTGTGGTCAGCTCCTACCGTTAATTTGTAAATTTTGACAATTAATTTTGACTAATTTGAGTTTAAATACCGAAGTTAATCAGTTATGGTTTAATTTTGAGTTCAAATTTAGGATTATAGGTTAGCTTTGTGAATATTTGAGATTAGGCATCGATCGATGATTTTAATCGACTTGATGTACAGATATTAGAGGTAAGGGAATCTCAGTCGATCCCCTCATTTATTTTTCTTGTCACTTTGAATTGAGTTTGCTGCTGATTTAGGTAGAATTATTGGAATTTATCCAATTCAATTATATTTGTATCTTTTTTATATGAGTCGACGATTTGTAACCGTGGTTTATCCATTATCGATGTAAAATATTAATCTCGTTTATTTTTATTTCAATTTGCACTGTTTTGGCGATATTAGGTCCTCAGAACCCAGAGTAATTCTCTGTTGTATTTATTTTGTTTATTTTTCGAGGAATTATATTTTTTTCAGTTTTTGTTAATTAAAATTTTGGATTTTTTTGTGTGAGAGTGGAGGAGAGAATATATACCTGAGTAGGGGTATCGTCCCCCTTCCCCCTTGTAACAAGCAGGGTCTACTCGTAATTCTAAGAAGTCGGACATTTTCAGATGTTAAGTATTTTTCTTCTGAATTTTGCTACGGAGAGGCGTCAATGCCCTCTCCTCAATAAAAAGCATTGACTGGCGCCCATTCGGTTAGAATTTTTAAAAATTATAATTTACTTAATATTTCTATAGTTTGTGAAAACGTCACAGTTCAATTGAGAAAGGCTTCACCATAGGCTACAATGCGAGGTGTTCGCAGCTAATCAAGTGGCAAAGTAACAAAGCCCATGCAGGGTTTGCCGATATATGCAACATGGCCAAACATCGGTCCAAAATCGTGGTCCAAAAATTGGGGCCCCGATTGACGGCTGAACATTGGCCATATACACGCCTGCCGAGCACCGAAGCCCGAATTAAGGTATATTCCTAGAAAGATTGTTCCCATGTTTTTCATAAACTGTTAAAAAGAAATTATGATATTTACCACACTTTTATGACAAAATTGTATGGGAAAATTATGATACTTGCATCAAAAAATCAAACTAAGACACAATTCTTCAAATATTATAACACAACCATTGAATTTTATTATAAGAATTGCAAAAATCAAGGAAAGTTTAAGAAATTCATCATACATTGTGATAAAATTCATTCTCAATTATAATTTTATCATACTCGTATAATATTTTCGTGATTCGCGATAGGAATGTCATCTAAGCATACCTTAAAATTAATACTCCATATTGTAATTTTATGATACCCAGTGATAAGTTCTTTACCTTGTTGCCCTAATTTCAGATAATGTAATATCTGGATACTGAATTTGTAAAATTTTTGCAATTCGCATAAATCTATAACGGAGGTTGTTGGATTTCAAGGAAAGAAATAGGATCCAAAAATCACTCTCTACACAGCTTGACACATTTCAGTGTCAGCCCATAAAATTCTCGAACCTAAAGTTCGTAAAACTGTGTTTACATTACTTGGCGACCACATGGCGGATGACTACGAATAATCTGAACAAAACAGAACAAAGGGCAAAGGGAAAATGCGCATCAAATAGTCCAGTGTACTGGTTCTTATTCTTTTGCAGTTAGTCTCCGACTGACGAAGTTAGAGTAAAGATGGAGATGCGTCTTGTACGTGCAATTGAATAAAGAGTCACAATTAAATTCAATTCACAGAGTTATTATGCAATTCTACCCATAATTTCCAATGGAGGTACAGTACGATTAGAATCCAATATGAGAATTATCAATTATAATTAATTATAAACAATTGGAACAATTTCGTTTAAATATTCGATGGCCCCGTGTTTCTTCCATCTTTTATGAGAAGTCATAAATTGACAACATCCATTGAACAATAATTTAGAGTCTCTGAAGAATAATAGTAAAATTATCCCGAAGGCCATTTTGATATGAAATCATTCAACAATTAGAATATGAAACTGTCATTAATTCATACAAAATCATGGTTGATTGAGAACATGAGGTTATGATTCATATAGGCGATGCGAACCATCATCAATACGAATTGCGTGATAGCTCCATGGTAACGCGTTAGGTTACGAGTCCGTAGGTCCTAGGTTCAAACCCCTCTGCG